GATGATGCAGGGCCTGACACAGCTGGGCTTTCCCCTGGACGCCAGATCGCTGGAGCGCACATGCCGTGCCGCCAGATACCGCGCCGCCTACTACTCCCTTGCCCTCCACGAAATCCGAAGGATGCTAAAGAATTCTCAGAAGATGATGAGTGTGTAATAAATTGGCGTCCGCACCCCTGGTGGAAAAGCAGCATCTTGCGGTCGATGATCGAGAGTTTCGAACTCCTGACCAGTATCCCAAACGTGCCGAGGGATGAGGTGCCGCTTCAGAAAAAGACGGAGCTCTTCCTGCGTGAACTCTTCCCTCGTTCTGTGAAGCCCCAGCTGCTGAGCCGCCTGCGCAAAAATGACCCCCGCCTGTGCTATAGTGATCTGGATCTTGTTTTTCTGGCCTTCAGGAGGGCCGCCCCTCTCGTTCCGCCCTCGGTCCTCGCCTCGCTTCTGAAAGCTGTGTGTAATGCCTGGTGCACCTCGGGGCGTTTTCGGGATGCCACCAAGGATTGCCCGTTTTGCGGCCCACGTGCTGCTGACACCCTCAAACATGTGATTGAATGCCCGAGGCTCGACATCATTGGGATTTTCCTGCCAGAGCTCCCTTCTGCGTTCTGCCTTGCCCCTGGTGCCACCAGAATTCAGATTTATAGATTCTTTCCCCTTGACAATCGTGCTCTGTTGTCCATCTTGTTGTATATTGATGCCTGTTTTCATTGTTATCATACCTGTCGCCATCGCCCCGCGTCGCCCGTCGCCGTGGCAGGGGCCCGTTTTCAGCAGGTCTGCAGGCAGAGGTCAGACCTGTCCGCGCTGCTCGGCGCGGCCCCGCAGGCGCCGCCGCGCGCCGCTGCGTCGACGACGTCTTGCCCTCGTCTCGCTTCTTGTCCGCTTGCCCTCTTCTCGTCCCTCTCTTTTGGCCAGCGCACTCCTCCTCCTCCTCCTCCTCCTCCTCCTCCCCCTCCTCCTCCTTCTCGTCCTCGTCGCCCCCACTCCGCGCCGGGGATGTGTCCACGTCTGCCGACGGTCTGCCGGGCGCGCCCCAGAGGAGCATCTCTCGGCGCTGGACGCGTGGTACGTTCCGCCCCAGGAGGGGGGGAGAAGGCGCGCCCACGTCCAGCACGCCGCGAGGTCCTCGGGGACGCGGTGCTCCAGAGCTGTGGACGACGACGGATCCCCCGTGTGGGTTCTGGGCCTTCTCCCTGTTCTTCCTGTGCCGAGAACCCAGTATGAAGGTCCAGTGGGAGTGGCAGCTCCAGGCAGTGCTTCTTTTAGCTAGCCGGAAGCTGCGTTCAAGGGCTATCCTTCCTTGACCCGGCGGCGAGCAAGGGGGGGAATGAGAAGAAGAAAAATAAGTTCTTCTCAGAAGGCGGCGGTGTTTAAGAAAACACAGTTTTGCAGCCAGAGTCTCGACATTTCTTGTCCTAGACACACGGCTGAAGAAAACGCCGGCGCTGGCCAGACCCTGGGGAAATTTCTTAAGCCTGATGCTTTCTTGGGGTCGTGTGGGCGCACACTTGGGCCCCACTTGGATTCGGCTCGGGCCCCACTTGGGTTGGACTCGGGCCCCACTTGGGCCCCCCTTGGATTCGGCTCGGGCCCCACTTGGGCCCCGCTCGGATTCGGCTCGGGCCCCACTTGGAGGGGGCTCGGGCCCCACTTGGGCCCCACTTGGATTCGGCTCGGGCCCCACTTGGGCCCCACTTGGATTCGGCTCGGGCCCCACTTGGAGGGGGCTCGGGCCCCACTTGGGCCCCGCTTGGATCCGGCTCGGGCCCCACTTGGGCCCCACTTGGATTCGGCTCGGGCCCCACTTGGGTTGGGCTAGGGCCCCACTTGGGCCCCACTTGGATTCGGCTCGGGCCCCACTTGGGCCCCACTTGGATTCGGCTTGGGCCCCACTTGGAGGGGGCTCGGGCCCCACTTCGGCCCCACTTGGATTCGGCTCGGGCCCTACTTGGGCCCCACTTGGATTCGGCTCGGGCCCCACTTGGGTTGGGCTCGGGCCCCACTTGGGCCCCACTTGGATTCGGCTTGGGCCCCACTTGGATTCGGTTCGGGCCCCACTTGGAGGGGGATCTGGCTCGGGCCCCACTTGGGCCCCACTTGGATTCGGCTCGGGCCCCACTTGGGTTGGGCTCGGGCCCCACTTGGGCCCCACTTGTATTCGGCTCGGGCCCCACTTGGGCCCCACTAGGATTCGGCTTGGGCCCCACTTGGGTTGGGCTCGGGCCCCACTTGGGCCCCACTTGGATTCGGCTCGGGCCCCACTTGGATTGGGCTCGGGCCCCGCTTGGGCTCCACTTGGATTTGGCTCGGGCCCCACTTGGGTTGGGTTCGGACCCCACTTGGGCCCCACTTGGATTCGGCTCGGGCCCCACTCGTGTTGGGCTCGGGCCCAAATTGGATTCGGCTCGGGCCCCACTTGGAGGGGGCTCGGGCCCCACTTGGGCCCCACTTGGATTCGGCTCGGGCCTCACTTGGGTTGGGCTCGGGCCCCACTTGGATTCGGCTCGGGCCCCACCTGGGTTGGGCTCGGGCCCCACTTGGGCCCCACTTGGATCCGGCTCGGGCCCCACTTGGGCCCCACTTGGATCCGGCTCAGGCCCCACTTGGGTTGGGCTCGGGCCCCACTTGGGCCCCACTTGGATTCGGCTCGGGCCCCACTTGGGCCCCACTTGGATTCGGCTCGGGCCCCACTTGGGTTGGGCTTGGGCTCCACTTGGGCCCCACTTGGATCCGGCTCGGGCCCCACTTGGGTTGGGCTCGGGCCCACATTCATGCACATACCGAGCCCCCGGGCCAGACCCTCGACATTTTTTAATGATAATTAAGAAACCTGTTGGCGCGAGACCATGAATTTCTTAACCCATGATTTCTTAACCATTTCGCGTGGTGTACGTTCCGCCCCAGGAGGGGGGGAGAAGGCGCGCCCACGTCCAGCACGCCGCGAGGTCCTCGGGGACGCGGTGCTCCAGAGCTGTGGACGACGACGGATCCCCTGTGTGGGTTCTGGGCCTCCTCCCTGTTCTTCCTGTGTCCAGAACCCAGTATGAGGGTCCAGTGGGAGTGGAAGCTCCAGGCAGTGCTTCTTTTAGCTAGCCGGAAGCTGCGTTCAAGGGCTATCCTTCCTTGACCCGGCGGCGAGCAAGGGGGGGAAGAAGAAAAATAATAAGAAGAAGAATAATAAGAAGAAGAAGAAGAAGTTCTTCTCAGAAGGCGGCGGGACTTTCAGACGCCCTCGCACCTTCTGAGACGTTTTTGTTGTTGCTGTCTTCCGGGAGGGCTCAGAAATCTTCTCAGAAGGCCGGGGGACTTCCGAGCCTTCCGAGAAGGCCCGCTCCTTCTCACTTCCCCCCGGGCGCGCCGCCTACAGTCGAGACTGATTAGTAGGTCGGCCATGCCAAGTCGAGGCTACCCATGTGGCTCTCGGACGGGACTTGTGTCCTCTCGCGTGTCCTCTCCAATCAACCCCGACTGTATCGACTGCGGGCGGGTGCACTCGAATTTCATCGAGGACAAGCCCCCCCAAAACAAAAAATCGATTACACGTGCGCGTAAGAGTGACCCTTCGCGGGAGCGGCCTTTGGAGCGGGTCCATTGGGGACCCCCCCCATCGCCGCGCGCGGCGGGGTAAGCGAGAAGGAGGGAAGGCCTCAGAGGGCGGCGGGGCTTCTCAGAAGCCCTCGCGCCTTCCGAGAAGTGGCCAGTGCCTTCGGGGAGGGCGTCGGAGACTTCTCGGAAGGCCCGGGGACTTCCGAGCCTTCTGAGAAGGCCCGTCCTTTCTCACTCCCCCCGGGGCGCGCCGCCTGTCCCCCGTCCTCCTCGTCGAAGCCCACATCCTGGACAAGCAGGCGAGCGTTCCGCCCCCCTCGCCCCCCCCGCTCCCCCCGCTCCCACCTCGCCGCCGCGTGCGAGCAGCGGCGAGGGGAAAAGATAGCTGGACTGCACGTCAACGGCTTCAGCTTCGGAGATCAAACCTGGTCGCCCAGGACAGGCCCTGGGGGCAGGGCCGAGGGGCGGTCTTTGTTTATGACCGCCCGTACTCGTGCTCTGAATCTCGGGAGGCCTGGCCCGCGGTATCATCCCATGGCAGGTCGCGGGACGGGCGTCGCCCGACCAGGGGGGCGACCTTCCTGGTGTGCAGCGCTGCTCCCTGCAGCTCGGGCAGGCCTCCGCGTGGCAAGCAGTGCCGCCCCCCCCCCCCTCTTCGGGCCTCTGGAGAGACCGACCCGGAAGGCGCTTGTTTTTTTTGAGGATGGGGGTGTCCTGTCGATGGGCCCCCCCGGCACGTGATGGCGCCCCTCGTGCGGGGAACGAGAAGTTCTCCTCGGACGGATACCCCCATCCCGTGCTCCGTCTTTCCCCGTGACTCGTTCCCTCTATAGGCAGTGAACCGCTTCGGGCCTTCTCGAGTCCAGAGCACAACGGTCCCCGCACGATCCCTGCTGACCGCCATCTGTCCTCCCTCCTGCCTCGGGACGCTCTCGGAGCGTCTGCGAGCGCTTTTTGGGAAGGGCAGCGGCACTCGACTCCTCTCTCGCATGTCCCTCCCCCCCCCTGTGCCTTCTTCCTCCCCCCTCTTCCCCATCGTCTCCTCGGGGGAAGAGTCCAGAGGCCATCTTGGGAGACTGCCCGGGCCTCGCGCGCCCCAAGAGGGCCCCGCGGGGCTCTGTCCAGAGTGGCCCCCGCGGCCCCGAGGCATCGGCAGGGGCCCGCCGCCGGGCCGGCAGAGCCCGAGGGAGGCGAGGAGGGGCGCGGCCGCTTCGGGCGCCCCTGGCACGGCCCGCGCTCGCGCGGCATCGGGAGAGGCACCCACCGTGTCGTGGCGTCGCCGCGTCTTGCACCTCACCTTCGCGCGCGACGCGCGCGCCCGCCGTGGGGCTCCATAAAGGGCACTGCGTCACGGCATCCCGGGCAGGCCGTGGAGCTGGTGGCCCGTTGCTCGCACGCTCGGTCGCATGCTGGTCTGCGCGTCGCATCCTCGTCGTCCCCCCTTCGGCCCGCAGGCTGCCGAGACCACGACCACCGAGTTTCAGCCCGACGCCGCCGCCGGGAGCAAGCAGAGCGCCACTCTGGCGGCCCAGAAGCAGGGCGTCACAGTGGGGACGGAGCAGGCCGCCAGCCCCGCGACCGAGAGGGGCGTTGCCGAGCCTGCGCAGGCAGCCGCAGACACCGCGGAGGGCGGAGCCGCCACGAAGGCCAGGCTCGCGCAGCAGATTTGCGGGGTGAGTGTGCAGCTGGATGTGGTCAGCATGCAGATCCTCCTCCTCCTCCTCCTCCTCCTCGTCCTTCTCCCCACCCCCCTCCTCTTCGTCCTCCTCCCCCTCTTCCCCCCTCCCCCTCCTCCCCCCTCCTCCCCCCTCCCCCTCCTCGTACTCCCATTCCCCTCCTCATCCTTCCCCCTCCTTTCTCTTCCCGTGTTCCAGTGCAGGTCACTGCGCAGCCGCCACTCCCAGACAGTCCCAGATGGCCCACCCTTCGCTCGACTCCCTCGGAAGCCTGCCGCCGCCAGCACTGCCCGCGACCCTTCTACATGTACCGAGCGCTTGCTCTCCTCACACCTCGCACGAAGCACCCTCCGAGCCAGAATCGCGCCCCCCCAAACCCGAGACCTCTGCACAGCGCCCGGCGTCGGGCATCAGGCCTTGCAGCCTTGGGCCTATCGCCAGGATCCCTTTGATCAGCGCCTGAAGTGCGCGTGTGCGCAGTATCCGGCCTCGTTTGAAAAGGTCGTGGAGGTTGTTTCCCCTCCTGGGTTATCGACGACCCTGCGTTCCGAAACAATTGGTTTCTCGGGTCTCGCCGTGCTTGCAGAACACGAACGCGTCGTGTTTCGTCAAACTTGCAGAGATCAAGAGAATTATCCATCGCACTTGTCGGGACGTATTGAAAGCTCATCGTGAGAGGATCGCTGACATCAACGACGAGAAAACAGTTGCCACCATTTGTTTCTTGCGTGCTGCTTTCATTGGGAATTCGGTTACTACTGAGCGGTTGCAAGCTGTTTACCCCCCGCTTCGTTCGGTACCTGCGACTTCACGTGCGCCTACGCATCGTGAGATTCGATTTCTTCAGGACCATGCCCTCGAGCTGTCACAGGCAGCTGAACACGACAGGATTGATCAGCTACAACGGCAGCGCGGTAATCTTCCTGAGAGCGTTTACGAGCAACGAACATTGAATAGTGTTTCTTCGTTCTAAAAGCTGGTGCCGGGATCTTCTGGGTCGGTTCAGGCTGTGAGGAATCCGTCTTCAGGTTTGGTTGCCACAGAACCCCAGGCTGTAGCTAGAATTTTGACGGTGCGTTGGCAACATGTTTTGGATAAGCAGCATGCTGATTGGAATTTGAGGAGGCGCTGGACTGACCAAGTGAGAGGCAGCTTGCACGTAACCCTCGAAGATCTGACTCCCACGATCGAGAATGTGGACGGTGTGCTCGCAAGCCTTCCGAGCGCTTCTCCGGGCCCAGACGGCATTCCTTTCGCCGTGTTCTCGGTGCTTCGCGTCATCTTGGCGCCGCTGTTCTTGGACCTGGCGTTGCTCATGCTGCGAGGGGAAGCTGCGCCGCCGGACGATTTCAATCTGGCCTATTTGCTTTGTTTGCCGAAGGGCTCGGGGACGTTGACGTCGACAGGCGAGGAGTTCTACGACCCCTGCAACGCCCGCCCCCTTTCCATTGCTGACGCCAGCATCCGTATCCTTTCCTCCATATCCAGGGTGGCGTTGGAGAGATCGGCGGCGCCATGGGTCTCCGCGCCGCAGAAGGGCATTATCCAAGGACGGCACATGCTACGCAATGTACTGGATGTGGATTTTGTGGCGCATGAGATTTCCATGACATCATCCCGGGGGCAATATCATCATTATTTGATTGTCGTGCTGGTTTTCCCAACAGGGATCACCAATTCATATTGGGAGTCCTCGAGGGTATTGGTGTTCCGTTTCAGTACGTCCGAATGTTGCAATTTGTTTACAACAGTAACATTCATAAGATCATAGTTCGGGGCACATGTTTCGATAGTATCATCGTCAGCAGCGGGGTGAGACAGGAGCGCCCGCTTTCACCATTGTTGTTTGCTATCTGCGCAGACCTCATGCTTCGTCGTATCGCTGACAATCTAAATGGCCATGAAGTCGTTCGCGCCTTCGCTGATGACACCAAGGCGGTTGTGAATGATTCGGTCCAGGCATTCCCAGTGCTCGCCAAGTTGTTTGCCAAGTTCGAGACGATTTCTTGTTTGGCCCTGAGCGTCACGAAATCGGTGATGATCCCCCTCTGGAAGGCACATTTCCGAAAGAGGTTTGCGGAAATTGATCACAGAGCTTGTCCCGTCTTGGCGTGACATCATCATTGCGTTGCAGGGGAAGTATTTGGGATTCGGAATCGGCCCGGGAGCGTGCATTCAGTCGTGGATTTAAAGTGCTTGAGACATTCCACAAGCGTGTGCTGATTTGGTCCACGCACACTTTAGGCTTAACTTTATCGACGATCGCCATCAACGTGTTTATCTGTTCTGCCCCTTTGTGGATGTTTTCGCTTGGGCTCTGAGGCGCCTCGCCTCGTGCCAGGCCCTGGCAGTCGGGCTACGCCTGCTGATTTGTGTTATTTGAAGGAAGAGTTTGGGTTTCCGTGTTCGTTCGCGAATGATGCAGATCTCGCCAAAGCCGCCAAAATCCGGGTGGTGGAGACCATTGCCTTCGCTTGTAAAGATCGTTGCGCGGAGCTTGCCGCCGTGCACGATGCCGTGCTGCAGGGGCCCTTCGGGAGTTGGCATCAGGACCCGTCATTTGCCATCTTAGCCCGGGCGGAGGTCAAACAATTTCTGAGGATGGGCATCGCCCGCCTTGCCGTCCGACATGTCCTGGCCAGCAGAAGAGCTTGAAGTTTCAAGCGGTAGCCGCTTCTTCGACCAGGGCCAAGTGCGGTGACCGTGATCAGCGGCTTCAGCACAAGATCTCAAGGTGGAATTTCACCAGCAACGCAGCTGACAATGCGGCGAGGATCCGCGCAAATTTCGGGTTAGTGCACAAATGGTGCCCGCCTCGCTGGGCCGCAGCATATCTCTGTACTGTCTTCAATGGATGGACCACTCGCCGCCACATGCGCAATGCATATACTTCTACCCGAAGCGATTTCGGTAGCTGCTTGCTCGGCTGCGAACGCGGCGAGGACAGTCTGGAGCATCACTCGGTTTGCTCAGTGGTATAGGAATCCATTCGTGCGGCAAGACCTTTAGGTTTGGGCTTTCCTCATGATCCTTCCAGATTTTCTTTCTTTCTGATGGACACGTATACCTGCGACGAAGACAGGGTCAGAACAACACTGGCTGTGTACGCTGTCTACCGTGCCACCAACTACCTGCGACACGCTGCAACAGACTCCGCGCAGGGCATGGACGTGCGACGGTTGCTTGGCAGATGGAGTCGCCGCGGCGCTGAACGCTCTCGGGCATGGCAGCTGCTTCAACCATGAGTGCAGTTTCACCAGTCACACGCCGTGTTGGTTCCGTTTGTGCGGAAGCACCGTTCGGCACAACAGTATTGTTTCTCGTTCGTTTCGATTGCGCGAAAAACATATTCTGGTCAGCGGGGCGCCCAGACTCACAGGAGTCGGTTGGCGATGACCTGCAGGACTTTGTTCAGTGCTCTCCTTCCTTCTCTTCGTCCCTCTTTTTCCTCCTTCTCCTCCTCCTTCTCCTTTGCTTCCTCCTCCTCCTCCTCGTCCAAGTGGTGTCCGCTAGCTGCTGCTCTGCGCAGGGGGGGCCGCGATCTGTCCGCTCCAGCTGGCGCCTGCGGTACGCAGGATCTTAATTTCAATGTTGGACGTACTGGCCTATCCTCGCTTTTAAGTTGGCGCCCGTCAGTCTCTTCGAGCCTTGGTGGCGCGCGACGGTTCGCCTATTGCAGGTTGGCCTGAGCTTTGCTCCTCGTGTTCTGATTTCGTCCTCCTCCTTTTCCTCTTTCCTCCTCCCCAGGAGCCGCCGCCGATCGCGGCCAAACATGATATTGAGATGGTTTGGCCTCTCCGCTCCAAGCACACGAGCGCCCAAGCGTGAAGCAAACATCGTCTCGATAGGAAACGGCCTTCGCGGCTAAACGTGATAGTGACACGGTGTGGTGGTTAGATAAAACATGAAGTGCGCGTGCGTGCAGCATTTTAAGTCGGGCCTGTCCCTTTGCAGGAGGAAGATTCGAATATACTCACAAAATAGTATGGGTTCGATGTTTTGACTATTTTGGAGCATTGATTAAATACTTGTTGGATACGTTTAATTAAACGTTCCCCTAACATCCGCCTGTAGGGGGACACGCCCGACCTAAGTGCAGCAATCCCAGACCTCAGGCGATTTGAAGAACGAGCCATACGGATCTTGTCTCCACGTTCGGCCTCCAATGGGCCCGCTCTCTGGTGCCCTTTGGCCGACAGCAGCCAACGCAGGACAAAGCGTTTCCCAGGGAGAGGGGAAGGGAGCTTCCGCAAGGGTTCCCACGAGGGCGCGAAGTTATTCGCGCTTCGCGGTCCTCGTTCCTTCTCCTTTTCCTCCTCGTCCTCCTCTTCTCCCTTTTGGGGTGCGGCGCGAGAGCGCGAAGGTATTCGCGCTTCGCGGAGTGCGAAGCGCGAAGTTGGGAGCCCTAGTTCCGGGGCCGGCGACGTTGCTTTGCACTAGCGCCGTCGCATTCCCTTTGTATACATGCAGTCTCGTTGCCGCGCGTGTCTGTCACCGCGCCGCGGCGTCTGGGAGGCGGGCAGAGGGTTTTTGTTTTTTTGGGGATTTCACGAAGCTTTGCAGCGCGCATGTATAGTTTATGGTACTAGTTCTTGTGTGGCATGCGAGAAGGCAAAGAATTTGGAGCCAGACGTGGGCGCGTGGGGGGGTCGATTCGCCTGGGGCCTTTAGTATTGCTTCGCAGTGGGCAACGCTACGGACGAAAAGCGCCAGCGGCACGACATGCACGCACGCACACAAACCGATGCACAGCTCTGTTGCGGATCTTCTGTGTGCGCTTCACTTTCTCGGGTCCGAAACAATTATTCTTCCCTATCCAATTCGAACTCGTGGAGCAGGCACCGATTCCAAAGCCTTCGCCAGAGCCTACAGCAGCGCCTACGCTGGCCCGCCATGGGGTCAATGTGCGTGCCTTGCCCTCTTTCTCCGCCGCCCTCTCTCTATTCCTCCTCTTCTTCCTCCGTCCATGGAGGCCTCCTCCATCCGGCCAGACGAGATGGGCACCAAGTACCTCGCCGCATCGGCGATGCATCGGCGATGCGTCGGCGACAACGGAGAGGATTGAACGGAGCTCTTCATCGCGCCGCACCACCAAAGCATTTGCGATGCGTTGCGATCTTCCGACACCGTCCTTTCCAGTCCCAGTTAGGAAGCTTGGACTCCATCATTTTCCTCGGTCATTGCCGAGGTCTTCTCCCCTCGGCGTCGTGGCAGACTAGGCGCTTCTGGAGTAGCTGTGGTCCTTACTGCCCTCCCACTTTCGCACTATGCGTGTTCGGAGGAGAGCTGGGAACGATGGGTGGTGGTATAATCAGATGGAGCATCAGCCTCCCTTCGAAATCTCAGTCTCCCGCCGTGGATCAGGCACCCACCGCACCCACTTCAGAACCGACACCAGCGCCTACGGAGGCGTGTGTGAGAGAGAGAGAGAGTGCGTGGTGGATGAGGGATGGCAAGTCTGCGGGGCGGCACTAGATACGTATCCTGAGGCGCACGCCAGCCCTCCGATTGTGGCACGGTGGTGGCGAAGGAAGAGGAAGTGGAGTTAATGCATTATTGAAGCGAGTGCGTGTTGTTATCTTGGCCCACAGTGCCATGTATGGTGCGCATTGAAGTTGCACGCGTATTCAATATTGTGTTGGAGCGGGTACCACAACAAAGTCCCAGGCAGGTTCGCGGACCATTCCATCGATTTCTCCAGATGATGGGTCCCACATTCTGTATATCTACACACATAGATGCAGACACACCTGCACGCATACATACATACATACATACATACATACATACATACATACATACATACCTTAATACCGGCCAAGTACACGCATGCATAAAAACGCATCCAGGCGTATGTACATACATACACACACACACATACATACATACATACATACATACACCCATGCATGCCTATACACACATACAACCATACAAACATGCATGCATACATATCTACACACCTATGCATGTATATACATACATGTGTGCATATCCATAACTACGCATACATACATATATATGTATATGTATATATATATACATACATCCATGTAGTTATATATGTACATATATGCACAGGCACATACAATCATACTCGCGTACGATCGTACACACGTACACACGTATATACACACGCCCGCGTATACGTACACACATGCGTACACAGATACGCGTGCATGCATGTATGCATACATGCATACAGCCGTACACGCATACATACATGCATGCAGGCACATTCACCTACAGTTACATGTGATGGAGTACATGCATGCATGCAAACATGTATACACACATACACGCACACATGCATACATACACATGTACATGACTACCTACCTACCTACATGTCTACATCCATCCATATATACATGTACATAGACACAAACATGCACACATACACACGTACATATAAACACATACAAATTTATACACATACATGTACACATACACACATACACACATGCATGCATACATGCATGCATACATACATACACACATACACGTATTCACGCTTGCGTGTAGTGTGTTGCGGCCAATGCCGCCACCGAGATTGGGTTGTAGGTCAGATGCACATTGGATGCAGGTAGTGCTATCTGGGGAGGCCCCTCGCACGCCTCTTGGTGGCGGTGTTGGAGGTGCCTCGGGGCCTCTCGGGGGCCGCCTGGGAGTTTCGTTGGGCCTGCTTTGGGCCTCTGGAGGGGCTCATGTGGCTTGTTTGGGTGCACCTGCGGGGCCGGCTGGCGGTCTCGGTGGTCATCCAAGGGCGGTGGGCGCGGCATGGCAGCTCGGAGGGCCCATCTTGGTACCTTCTTGGGTCCTTCTTGAGCCATGTTGGGTGCCTCTTGGGCCGTCTCGGTGCTTTCCTTGGCCGTCGGGGGCCCTCTTGGTGGCGCGTCGGTCCTTGGGCGCTCGTGGGGGCATCTTGAGCCGCCCTGGAGCATCGGACACCCGACACGACGTGAACGCGAAGTGTCTTCAAGCACCTACTGGACAGTCGCCGAGTTATATTCATATATAGATATACATATGTATACGTGTATCTGTTTATGTACATATGTATCTATGTCTATATATATGTGTATGTACATATGTGCCTGTGTATGTACATACACATATGTATGTATGTATACTCACATGGTAGCACATCGCTTGAGCGGGAAGCTGTGTCAGCCCAGCTCTTCACGCTTCACGTATCCCTGCCAGTCCATCTGGCAAGCGGCTCCCAGCCGAGATGCCGTAAGACTGGCAGTGTAGGAGCACCAGTCGGAGACAGGGTGGAGAGGCGCCAGTCAGGCCGAAGCGGGGATTTGCTTGGACGGCTCCCAACAGCGACCAATGGCTGGACATCTGGAAGCCTCCTGCAGGCCATTCGGGGCAATCTTGGGTCTCTGTTTTGGCCGTCTTGGCGCCCTTTTGAGGTCCTACTCGGGGAGTTCTTGGGGCCCTCTGGGACGTCTCTTCTGGCCCTCCTGGGGCCACCTCGCACGCCAGCAAACAAACGAGGTGGGGTCTCAAGTAGGCGCTGCCCTGGAGGAGCTCGAGAATTCGCCTCGTGGAGGCCTCTGGGGAGCGCTCTTGGCTGTGTTTTCTGGGGGGGGAGGGGGAGGGGGGGCGGGGCAGCCATGGAGCTTCCTGACCCTTCTTGGGGCTGCAATGAAACATGTTGGGCCATGTTGCGCCATCTCCGTGGGCACCTTGGGTTCTATAGGGGCAATATCGGTGCCATCTAGGGCCATCTCGGACGCTTCACTCCCCCGCGCTCCCCCCTCCTGTCCAGAAGAACTGGGGGAGGTTTTACGGGGGGGAATGGGCGCCCCCCTCCCCGAAGGGGAAGAAGGTGGAGGGAAGAGCCGATGATGACGTGGCGACGACGATGGCGATGCTGCCATCGTCATCGGCATCGTCATCGTTATCGCCATCGCCATCATCCCCTAAGCCATCTTCGCCAGGAGTGCTGGTGGGATTGTGCCCTCCTCGCCGGTCGTCGGCGCAGCGGGCTTGCACCGCCGTCGCTCTCGGGCTACAAGGCCAGAGCAACACACACACATACACATACATATATATGTATATATTTGTATATATATATACATATATGTATATATTCACATTCACACATTTACACGTTCACACCTTCACGCATTCACACATTCAAACATTCACCCATTCACACACTCACACACGAACACCTCAACACATTCACACACACGCTCACACATTCACACATTCACACATTCACACATTACACACTCACACACTCGCACATTCACACATTCAGACATTCACACATTCTCGCATTCACCGATCCACACATTCACACAGTCACACATTCAGACATGCACACTTTCACGCAGTCACGCATTCACGTATTCACGAATTCACACATTCACACCATCACCAATCCACGCAGACACCCATCCACACATTCGCACATTCACACGTTCACGCATTCACACCTTCACGCATTCACACATTCACACATCCACACATTCACGCATTCACACATTCACACATGTACGCATTTTCGCATGCACGATTACATGCATTCACACCTCTACACATTCACACATTCAGACATGCACAACATTACACATTCACACACTAACACATTCACACATAGACACACACACACACACTTACACATTCACACATTCACACTTTTACACTTGGACGCATCCACACATTCACACATTCACACATTCACACGTTCACACATCTGCACATTCACACACCCACACACACATTCGCACATCCGTACATCTATACATGCACACGTTCACACATTTACACATTCACACATTCACAGGCTCAAACGTTCACGCATCCACACATCCACACATTCACGCAGTCACACATTCACACAGTCACATTTCCTCACAGTGACACGTTCACACATTCGCACACTCAGACATTCACACATTTAGACACTCACACATTCACACATCCAGAGACTCAAACATTCACACATGCAAACACACACACGAACACATGTTCACATTCACATTTTCTGACACTCACTCATTCACACACTCACACATTCACACATTCACATACTCACATTTTCACAGTTTCACATGTTAAGATATTCACATATCCACACATTCTTACAGGCACCAATTCACACAGTCACATTTTCACACATTCACACATTCACGCATCTACGCATTCACACATTCACAAACACACGCACACACACAGACGCACACGCACATTCACACATCCATACAATCACAAATTCCCTCAGTCACACGTTCACATATTCACGCACGCACACACTCACACATGCACAGATTCACACATTCACGCAATAACGCATTCGCACATTCACTTATTCACACATTCACGCCGTCACACATTCACACACTCACACATTCACACATTCACACATTCACCCCTTCACACACGCACGCATTCACATTTTCACACATTCACGCACAAACGCGCACACTCACACACACACACACACACACACGCACACGCTCACGCACACACACACACACATTCACGCAGTCACACAGTCACACATTCGCACCTTTACACAGTCATACTTTCACACATCCACGCGTTCACACAGTCAAACATTCACTTACGCACACACACACACGCACACACACTTTTACGTCAGCGGCGAGGCAGAACTGCACCAGCGAGCGGCGATCCGGACACACACACACACACACACGCACACGCACACGCACACACACACACACACACACGCTCACTGAACCGCTGGACGTCCGCGGGCAGCAGATGCGCGCCGCCCGCAGACGTCCGAAGTTTACGGCCGGGAATTTTTGGATCGCCTAGTCGGTCGGTCGGGATGCACCCCCCCCCCGACTCGCAGGCGACTTCTGGCTCCCAGCCTCCGACTTTTCCACTCAGAACCAAGCGGGTCAGACAAGGAGGGCAACTCGGGGATACGACCCCCAGGGGGCCGGCGACAAGGAAAATCGGATCGGCGGGGGATGTGGGGGATGTGCCGTTGCCTTGCGCCTGGCGCCGTCGCCTTTTCCCTGTATCCATGCATTCGCTTTGCCGCGCGTGCCCATCATCGTGCTGTGGCTTCTGGGAGGCAGGCAGGGGGCTCTCCCATGGTGGGATCCGCGGAACCCTGCGGCGTGCATGTGCAGTTTACGGCATCAGCTCTTGTGTGGCAGGCGAGAATTGCAAGGGACTTGGAGCAAGACGTGGACGCGTGGGGGGATCGATGCGCCCGGGGCCCTAAGCTCGGTCAAAAAGCACACATCACCACCCCACCTGCGGCCCTCCGTGTTGCGCCACGGCCCACCGGGGGCCGTAGCGTATACCATGAAAAAAACCACGCCAGATGTCCAGGCATACGCTGCGGCCCGTGGGGCCCAAGGTGGGGTGGTGTCGTTTGCTTTCTGGTCCAGAAGTCCTGCTTCTCAAGAGGCAGGACTACCGACGAAGAGCGCCAGGGGGGCCCGACGCGCAGGCACGCACACACACACACACACACACACACACAGACACACACACACACACACACACACACACCGAGGCACAGCGCTGTGGCGGAGCTTCTCCGTGAGGATTTGTGCTTCTGGCGTGTTCCTATGCTCTAGCTTGAGTTTCTCGGTGTCGGAGCAGCTCTGCGTCCCGATCCAAACCGAACTCCCAGATTCCTGCTGTGGATCAGGCACCGACTCCAGAGCATTCGCCAGGGCCTACCGCAGCGCCTACGCTGGCCCGCCATGGGGTCAATGTGCGTGCCCTTGCCCTCTTTCTCCGCCGCCCTCTCCCTCTTCCCCCTCCTCCTCCTCCGCCGTCCATGGAGGCCTCCTCCATCCGGCCAGACCAGATAGGCACCACGTATCTCGCCACATTGGCGATGTGTCGGCGATGCGTCGACGACAACGGAGAGGATTGGACCGAGCTCTTCATCGCGCCGCACCGGCGATGCATTTGCGATGCGTTGCGATCTTCCGACCCCATCTTTTCCGGCCTCAGTTAGGAAGCTTGTACTCCACCTCCTTCCTCGGTCATTGCCGAGGTCCTCTCCTCTCGTCGTCGTGGCAGACTAGGCGCTGCTGCGGTAGCTGTGGTTCTTACTGCCCTCCCACTTTTGCATCATGCGTGTTAGGAGGAGAGCTGGCAACGATGGGTGGTGGTATAATCAGATGGAGCATCAGCTTCCCTTCGAACTCTCAGACTCCCGCCGCGGATCAGGCACCCACCGCACCCACTGCAGAACCTACACCAGCGCCGACGAAGGCGTGCCTCTGAGTGTGTTGTGGATGAGGGATGCCAAGTCTGCGGGGCGGCACGAAATACGTATCCTGAGGCGTGCGCCAGCCCGCCGACTGGCAGCATGGTGGTGGCGGAGGAGGAGGTGGAGCCGATGCATTCCTGAAGCGAGAGCGTGTTGCCATCTTGACCAACACTGACATCTATGGTGCGCATAGAAGGTTCACAAGTGTCTAATCCTATGCTGGAGCGAGGGCCACAGGAACGTCCCAGACAGGTTCAAGGACCATTCCATCGATCTGCCCTGATGATGGGCCAAACTTACAACTGTTGTTTGTGTATATATATATATATATATATATACGCACGTTCCCCAATCAGTGCTTGCACTGAAGGGGTCCTAGCGGAGATTGAAGGATTTGGCGAAAGTTCCCCGCCGATTTTAGTGGCAGGCTGGGTTCCCGGGTTTCCGGTTCCGGGTTCCCGGGTTCGATTTCGGAGGGCGGCGAGGTTCCCGGGTTCCTGGGGTCTTGGTCGATCTTCTTATCGATCGGTCTCACCATCGATCTTAGTACCGATTTCTCGATCGATCTCACCATCGATCTCACAATCGATTTCATTATCAATATCACAAGCGATCTCACTAGAGATCGCATGAGCGATCTCGCGATCGATCTCACTATCAATCTCATTGAATCGATGTCATTCTCGGTCTCACGATCGACCTTACAATCGTCCTCACCATCGAATGCGCTATCGATCTCATTATCGATCTCACAATCGATCTCAAGATCCATAGTGTCAAGTTTCAAATCATCCACTGATTGGGTTTCTCTGGTGTAATATACAGACATGCGTGTAGTGTCTTTCGGCCAATCCCGCCACCGAGCCTGGGTTGTAGGTCAAATGCACCTTGGATGCATGTAGTGCTATCTTAGGAGGCCTCTCGCAAACCTCTTGGAGGCGGTGTTGAAGGTGCCTTGGGGCCTCTCGGGGGCCGCTTGGGAGTTTCGTTTGGGCCTGACTGGGGCCTTTCGTAGGCTCTTCGGGCTTTTTGAGTGCATATGTGAGGCCTGCAGGCGGTCTCGGGGGTCATCTTGGGGCGGAGGGCGGGAAATGGCAGCTCGAGGACCCCATCGTTGTACCTTCTTGGGTCCTTCTTGGCCCATTCTCCATGCCTCTTGGACCGTCTTGGGGCCTTCTTGGGCCGTCGGGGACCCTCTTAGTGCCCCCACGAGCCGTATTTGCGCTCTCGTGGGGGCCTCTTGAGCCGCTTGCTTTGGAGCATCGGAAGCCCGAAAGGGCATGACCGCGAACCATTCAATTACCTAAATGGGGCATTCCAGATGTGTATATATATATATATATATATATATATATACCAGACTGCATTGGCGCTTCGCGCCATGCGCCTTGCTCCGGACGCTTCCCCGGCAAAGCAATAAAGCATCGTTTGTTTCAGCAGAGGGGGACCTCGAGACCTGGACGGGCGATCGGCTCAGTGTTGACCGCGGTGTCCCTGGTGCCTGCCGACCGCGTTCGCCGGATACGCTTGCACGCTTGCACGCAGGAGCGGTCGGAAAAATTATCCTGGCGAAAGACCCAACCATAAGCAATTGTTGGTAACGCGTTGTGGGTGCCGCTTTCGGTGGGGCTCCATATGGGGCCACGAAGCGCTGCCGTGGATGGGGGAACCGCATGCGGACTGCGCCACCGGGGCGGGCCTTCGGTGGAGCTCCCTATGGGGCTACGAAACGCTGCCCTGGGTGGGGGAACCGCATGCGAACTGCGCCACTGGGGCCTTCGGTGGAGCTCCCTATGGTGCCACGAAGCGCTGCCCTGGGTGGGGGAAGCGCATGCGAACTGCGCCACGGGGGCTTTCGGTGGAGCTCCCCATGGGGCCACGAAGCGCTGCCCTGGGTGGGGGAACCGCATGCGAACAGCCACTGGGGCCTTCGGTGGAGCTCCCTATGGGGCCACGAAACGCTGCCCTGGGTGGGGGAACCGCATGCGAACACCCCCACTGGGGCCTTCGGTGGAGCTCCCTATGGGGCTACGAAACGCTGCCCTGGGTGGGGGAACCGCATGCGAACACCCCCACTGGGGCCTTCGGTGGAGCTCCCTATGGGGCCACGAAACGCTGCCCTGGGTGGGGGAACCGCATGCGAACACCCCCACTGGGGCCTTCGGTGGAGCTCCCTATGGGGCCACGAAACGCTGCCCTGGGTGGGGGAACCGCATGCGAACACCCCCACTGGGGCCTTCGGTGGAGCTCCCTATGGGGCTACGAAACGCTGCCCTGGGTGGGGGAACCGCATGCGAACACCCCCACTGGGGCCTTCGGTGGAGCTCCCTATGCCCTGGGCCGCACACCCCCACTGGGGCCTTCGGTGGAGCTCCCTATGGGGCCACGAAACGCTGCCCTGGGTGGGGGAACCGCATGCGAACACCCCCACTGGGGCCTTCGGTGGAGCTCCCTATGGGGCCACGAAACGCTGCCCTGGGTGGGGGAACCGCATGCGAACACCCCCACTGGGGCCTTCGGTGGAGCTCCCTATGGGGCTACGAAACGCTGCCCTGGGTGGGGGAACCGCATGCGAACACCCCCACTGGGGCCTTCGGTGGAGCTCCCTATGGGGCCACGAAACGCTGCCCTGGGTGGGGGAACCGCATGCGAACACCCCCACTGGGGCCTTCGGTGGAGCTCCCTATGGGGCCACGAAACGCTGCCCTGGGTGGGGGAACCGCATGCGAACACCCCCACTGGGGCCTTCGGTGGAGCTCCCTATGGGGCTACGAAACGCTGCCCTGGGTGGGGGAACCGCATGCGAACACCCCCACTGGGGCCTTCGGTGGAGCTCCCTATGGGGCCACGAAACGCTGCCCTGGGTGGGGGAACCGCATGCGAACACCCCCACTGGGGCCTTCGGTGGAGCTCCCTATGGGGCTACGAAACGCTGCCCTGGGTGGGGGAACCGCATGCGAACACCCCCACTGGGGCCTTCGGTGGAGCTCCCTATGGGGCCACGAAACGCTGCCCTGGGTGGGGGAACCGCATGCGAACACCCCCACTGGGGCCTTCGGTGGAGCTCCCTATGGGGCTACGAAACGCTGCCCTGGGTGGGGGAACCGCATGCGAACACCCCCACTGGGGCCTTCGGTGGAGCTCCCTATGGGGCCACGAAACGCTGCCCTGGGTGGGGGAACCGCATGCGAACACCCCCACTGGGGCCTTCGGTGGAGCTCCCTATGGGGCCACGAAACGCTGCCCTGGGTGGGGGAACCGCATGCGAACACCCCCACTGGGGCCTTCGGTGGAGCTCCCTATGGGGCCACGAAACGCTGCCCTGGGTGGGGGAACCGCATGCGAACACCCCCACTGGGGCCTTCGGTGGAGCTCCCTATGGGGCCACGAAACGCTGCCCTGGGTGGGGGAACCGCATGCGAACACCCCCACTGGGGCCTTCGGTGGAGCTCCCTATGGGGCTACGAAACGCTGCCCTGGGTGGGGGAACCGCATGCGAACACCCCCACTGGGGCCTTCGGTGGAGCTCCCTATGGGGCCACGAAACGCTGCCCTGGGTGGGGGAACCGCATGCGAACACCCCCACTGGGGCCTTCGGTGGAGCTCCCTATGGGGCCACGAAACGCTGCCCTGGGTGGGGGAACCGCATGCGAACACCCCCACTGGGGCCTTCGGTGGAGCTCCCTATGGGGCTACGAAACGCGTGAGAGGTGTGCCGAGAGCAGAGGCAAGGAGGGGGAGGAGGGAGGAGAGGAGGAAGGAGAGGAACGCGGGGCACCGTCTCTTCAAAACGAGGACCCAACACCACAGGATGGTTGGGAAAAACATGTTTTTTTCACGCGCGAAGGTGCTGGCAAACGACGAAGCATCAAACTGTTGCGATGGCACCTGTCCATGAACGAGCAACGGGAAGGGAGCAGGGATGAGGGGGGGTGGGGCTGATGAGGCGGAAGGGGAGGGAGGGGGGCAGAAACGGGGAGAAGGCCCAGAGGAAGGAGCGGGCGAACGAGGATGGCTGTCGGATGCCACGAGCGTAGAGGTCGACGAAGAAGGCACAGGGGGAAGGGATAGAGAGAGAGAGAGAGAAACAAAAGAGGTGGTAGAGGTATGGGAAAGACAGGCGGGCTGGCGTGAGCGCAGCGAGCGCACGGAGAATGCCAACGCCGTCTGGATGTTTTTGATGCTCTTTTGGGCCGTCCTGGGGCCCTCGTGGGCAGTGTCGGGGCCTTCTTGGGCCGTCTTGGGGAGCTGGGGCCCTCCAGAGGTCTTCTGAAGCCATCTAGGGCCCTCTTGGGGGCCTCCAGTGGCCTTCCTGGGGGTCTCCCATGGCTTTCGTGGGTCTCTCTTGGGAGCCTTCTGGGCATCTTGGGCTTCTTGTGGGCAGTCTTGGGACTCTCTGGGGCAGCCTTGGGGCCCTCTTGGGCCGTCTTCGAACCTTCCGGGAGGCCCCTTGGGCCGTCTTGGGGCGATATCGGGGCCCGTCGGGCCGTCTTGGACGCTGCGAGGACCCCAAAAGCGGATATGCTAAAATTGTGTAGCTTCCAGAGGGAATGGGACGATGTTTGCTTCTTCGGGGCTCTCTTAACAGCCTCTTGGGGCGTCTTGGGGGCCTCGTTGGCCATCTTCGGACCATCGAGGTTCTTCTTGGGTCTCTGGCACCTGCCCGATGATCCCCCGGATCGCTTCGAGTCTGCTCGCAAGGCCAAGGCGCCCTGGGAGGCCCGGAAGGGCCAGCGAACCTTTTCCAAGGGCGTCGCGGGGGCTGCCGAATCATCCGAACGGCGTCCGGGTCGTCTTGGGGGTGGGTCCGGTTTATGACGTGTGGGGGGGGCGGGGGGGGGGTAATCTCTCTCTCTCTCTCTCTATATATATATATCCTAACGTGCCTCCCACAGACCCCCCCTCTTGGTTGGTATGTGACCTGTGACGTGTGTGTGTGTGTGTGCTGTGTGGGTGACCCTGTTGGTTCGTGATGTGTGTCTGTTGGTGGTATGTGCAGTGTGCTGGTAGAGCTGGTATGTGACGGTGGTGCTGTGCTCTGGTATGTGATGTTCTGTAGTGTGGTACGTGCGTGTTGTCCGTATGTGGTGTCGCAATTATCGTGCATGTGTTGTTGGGTGTGGTAGGGTGCGTGGATGTGTGCTGCTTTGTTACAGATTTAAGCTCATTTGCTAGCCCCACCTCCACACCCTCAGTTCCCAACGCGCTAGACCCCTCCTCTCTCAATTTCTACCAACACCACCTCCTCTGGTGCATCTTCGCTCACGCCGCCTTCTCCTCAGGAACACTTCTTGCTACCCTCCAAAGGTGGTGCGCAGCGTCAACGTCCGTGCTCTACTCATGTATCTCCTTTGGCGAACGCTTTGACGGGATATTCTGCTACCTATATATATATATATATATATGTGTACATGTGTGCCTGTGTATGTACATACACATATGTATGTATGTATACTCACATGGTAGCACATCGCTTGAGCGGGAAGCTGTGTCAGCCCAGCTCTTCACGCTTCACGTATCCCTGCCAGTCCATCTGGCAAGCGGCTCCCAGCCGAGATGCCGTAAGACTGGCAGTGTAGGAGCACCAGTCGGAGACAGGGTGGAGAGGCGCCAGTCAGGCCGAAGCGGGGATTTGCTTGGACGGCTCCCAACAGCGACCAATGGCTGGACATCTGGAAGCCTCCTGCAGGCCATTCGGGGCAATCTTGGGTCTCTGTTTTGGCCGTCTTGGCGCCCTTTTGAGGTCCTACTCGGGGAGTTCTTGGGGCCCTCTGGGACGTCTCTTCTGGCCCTCCTGGGGCCACCTCGCACGCCAGCAAACAAACGAGGTGGGGTCTCAAGTAGGCGCTGCCCTGGAGGAGCTCGAGAATTCGCCTCGTGGAGGCCTCTGGGGAGCGCTCTTGGCTGTGTTTTCTTGGGGGGGAGGGGGAGGGGGGGCGGGGCAGCCATGGAGCTTCCTGACCCTTCTTGGGGCTGCAATGAAACATGTTGGGCCATGTTGCGCTATCTCCGTGGGCACCTTGGGTTCTATAGGGGCAATATCGGTGCCATCTAGGGCCATCTCGGACGCTTCACTCCCCCGCGCTCCCCCCTCCTGTCCAGAAGAACTGGGGGAGGTTTTACGGGGGGGAATGGGCGCCCCCCTCCCCGAAGGGGAAGAAGGTGGAGGGAAGAGCCGATGATGACGTGGCGACGACGATGGCGATGCTGCCATCGTCATCGGCATCGTCATCGTTATCGCCATCGCCATCATCCCCTAAGCCACCTTCGCCAGGAGTGCTGGTGGGATTGTGCCCTCCTCGCCGGTCGTCGGCGCAGCGGGCTTGCACCGCCGTCGCTCTCGGGCTACAAGGCCAGAGCAACACACACACATACACATACATATATATGTATGTATTTGTATATATATACATATATGTATATATATTCACATTCACACATTCACACGTTCACACCTTCACGCATTCACACATTCAAACATTCACCCATTCACACACTCACACACGAACACCTCAACACATTCACACACACGCTCACACATTCACACATTCACACATTACACACTCACACACTCGCACATTCACACATTCAGACATTCACACATTCACACATTCTCGCATTCACCGATCCACACATTCACACAGTCACACATTCAGACATGCACACTTTCACGCAGTCACGCATTCACGTATTCACGAATTCACACATTCACACCATCACCAATCCACGCAGACACCCATCCACACATTCGCACATTCACACGTTCACGCATTCACACCTTCACGCATTCACACATTCACACATCCACACATTCACGCATTCACACATTCACACATGTACGCATGTTCGCATGCACCATTACATGCATTCACACTTCTACACATTCACACATTCAGACATGCACAACATTACACATTCACACACTAACACATTCACACATAGACACACACACACTTACATATTCACACATTCACACTTTTACACTTGGACGCATCGACACAATCACACATTCACACATTCACACGTTCACACATCTGCACATTCACACACCCACACACACATTCGCACATCCGTACATCATTCACACATTCACACTTTTACACTTGGACGCATCGACACATTCACACATTCACACATTCACACGTTCACACATCTGCACATTCACACACCCACACACACATTCGCACATCCGTACATCTATACATGCACACGTTCACACATTTACACATTCACACATTCACAGGCTCAAACGTTCACGCATCCACACATCCACACATTCACGCAGTCACACATTCACACAGTCACATTTCCTCACAGTGACACGTTCACACATTCGCACACTCAGACATTCACACATTTAGACATTCACACATTCACACATCCAGAGACTCAAACATTCACACATGCAAACACACACACACGAACACATTTTCACATTCACATTTTCTAACACTCACTCATTCACACACTCACACATTCACACATTCACATATTCACACTTTCACAGTTTCACATGTTAAGATATTCACATATCCACACATGCTTACAGGCACCAATTCACACAGTCACATTTTCACACATTCACACATTCACGCATCTACGCATTCACACATTCACAAACACACGCACACACAGACGCACACGCACATTCACACATCCATACAATCACAAATTCCCTCAGTCACACGTTCACATATTCACGCACGCACACACTCACACATGCACAGATTCACACATTCACGCAATAACGCATTCGCACATTCACTTATTCACACATTCACGCCGTCACACATTCACACACTCACACATTCACACATTCACACATTTACCCCTTCACACACGCACGCATTCACATTTTCACACATTCACGCACAAACGCGCACACTCACACACACACACACGCACACGCTCACGCACACACGCACATTCACGCAGTCACACAGTCACACATTCGCACCTTTACACAGTCATACTTTCACACATCCACGCGTTCACACAGTCAAACATTCACTTACGCACACACACACGCACACACACTTTTACGTCCGCGGCGAGGCAGAACTGCACCAGCGAGCGGCGATCCGGACACACACACACACACACGCACACGCACACGCACACACACACACACACACACACGCTCACTGAACCGCTGGACGTCCGCGGGCAGCAGATGCGCGCCGCCCGCAGACGTCCGAAGTTTACGGCCGGGAATTTTTGGATCGCCTAGTCGGTCGGTCGGGATGCACCCCCCCCGACTCGCAGGCGACTTCTGGCTCCCAGCCTCCGACTTTTCCACTCAGAACCAAGCGGGTCAGACAAGGAGGGCAACTCGGGGATACGACCCCCAGGGGGCCGGCGACAAGGAAAATCGGATCGGCGGGGGGTGTGGGGGATGTGCCGTTGCCTTGCGCCTGGCGCCGTCGCCTTTTCCCTGTATCCATGCATTCGCTTTGCCGCGCGTGCCCATCATCGTGCTGTGGCTTCTGGGAGGCAGGCAGGGGGCTCTCCCATGGGGGGATCCGCGGAACCCTGCGGCGTGCATGTGCAGTTTACGGCATCAGCTCTTGTGTGGCAGGCGAGAATTGCAAGGGACTTGGAGCAAGACGTGGACGCGTGGGGGGATCGATGCGCCCGGGGCCCTAAGCTCGGTCAAAAAGCACACATCACCACCCCACCTGCGGCCCTCCGTGTTGCGCCACGGCCCACCGGGGGCCGTAGCGTATACCATGAAAAAAACCACGCCAGATGTCCAGGCATACGCTGCGGCCCGTGGGGCCCAAGGTGGGGTGGTGTCGTTTGCTTTCTGGTCCAGAAGTCCTGCTTCTCAAGAGGCAGGACTACCGACGAAGAGCGCCAGGGGGGCCCGACGCGCAGGCACGCACACACACACACACAGACAGACACACACACACACACACACACCGAGGCACAGCGCTGTGGCGGAGCTTCTCCGTGAGGATTTGTGCTTCTGGCGTGTTCCTATGCTCTAGCTTGAGTTTCTCGGTGTCGGAGCAGCTCTGCGTCCCGATCCAAACCGAACTCCCAGATTCCTGCTGTGGATCAGGCACCGACTCCAGAGCATTCGCCAGGGCCTACCGCAGCGCCTACGCTGGCCCGCCATGGGGTCAATGTGCGTGCCCTTGCCCTCTTTCTCCGCCGCCCTCTCCCTCTTCCCCCTCCTCCTCCTCCGCCGTCCATGGAGGCCTCCTCCATCCGGCCAGACCAGATAGGCACCACGTATCTCGCCACATTGGCGATGTGTCGGCGATGCGTCGACGACAACGGAGAGGATTGGACCGAGCTCTTCATCGCGCCGCACCGGCGATGCATTTGCGATGCGTTGCGATCTTCCGACCCCATCTTTTCCGGCCTCAGTTAGGAAGCTTGTACTCCACCTCCTTCCTCGGTCATTGCCGAGGTCCTCTCCTCTCGTCGTCGTGGCAGACTAGGCGCTGCTGCGGTAGCTGTGGTTCTTACTGCCCTCCCACTTTTGCATCATGCGTGTTAGGAGGAGAGCTGGCAACGATGGGTGGTGGTATAATCAGATGGAGCATCAGCTTCCCTTCGAACTCTCAGACTCCCGCCGCGGATCAGGCACCCACCGCACCCACTGCAGAACCTACACCAGCGCCGACGAAGGCGTGCCTCTGAGTGTGTTGTGGATGAGGGATGCCAAGTCTGCGGGGCGGCACGAAATACGTATCCTGAGGCGTGCGCCAGCCCGCCGACTGGCAGCATGGTGGTGGCGGAGGAGGAGGTGGAGCCGATGCATTTCTGAAGCGAGAGCGTGTTGCCATCTTGACCAACACTGACATCTATGGTGCGCATAGAAGGTTCACAAGTGTCTAATCCTATGCTGGAGCGAGGGCCACAGGAACGTCCCAGACAGGTTCAAGGACCATTCCATCGATCTGCCCTGATGATGGGCCAAACTTACAACTGTTGTTTGTGTATATATATATATACGCACGTTCCCCAATCAGTGCTTGCACTGAAGGGGTCCTAGCGGAGATTGAAGGATCTGGCGAAAGTTCCCCGCCGATTTTAGTGGCAGGCTGGGTTCCCGGGTTTCCGGTTCCGGGTTCCCGGGTTCGATTTCGGAGGGCGGCGAGGTTCCCGGGTTCCTGGGGTCCTGGTCGATCTTCTTATCGATCGGTCTCACCATCGATCTTAGTACCGATTTCTCGATCGATCTCACCATCGATCTCACAATCGATGTCATTATCAATATCACAAGCGATCTCACTAGAGATCGCATGAGCGATCTCGCGATCGATCTCACTATCAATCTCATTGAATCGATTTCATTCTCGGTCTCACGATCGACCTTACAGTCGTCCTCACCATCGAATGCGCTATCGATCTCATTATCGATCTCACAATCGATCTCAAGATCCATAGTGTCAAGTTTCAAATCATCCACTGATTGGGTTTCTCTGGTGTAATATAAAGACATGCGTGTAGTGTCTTTCGGCCAATCCCGCCACCGAGCCTGGGTTGTAGGTCAAATGCACCTTGGATGCATGTAGTGCTATCTTAGGAGGCCTCTCGCAAACCTCTTGGAGGCGGTGTTGAAGGTGCCTTGGGGCCTCTCGGGGGCCGCTTGGGAGTTTCGTTTGGGCCTGACTGGGGCCTTTCGTAGGCTCTTCGGGCTTTTTGAGTGCATATGTGAGGCCTGCAGGCGGTCTCGGGGGTCATCTTGGGGCGGAGGGCGGGAAATGGCAGCTCGAGGACCCCATCGTTGTACCTTCTTGGGTCCTTCTTGGCCCATTCTCCATGCCTCTTGGACCGTCTTGGGGCCTTCTTGGGCCGTCGGGGACCCTCTTAGTGCCCCCACGAGCCGTATTTGCGCTCTCGTGGGGGCCTCTTGAGCCGCTTGCTTTGGAGCATCGGAAGCCCGAAAGGGCATGACCGCGAACCATTCAATTACCTAAATGGGGCATTCCAGATGTGTATATATATATATATATATACCAGACTGCATTGGCGCTTCGCGCCATGCGCCTTGTTCCGGACGCTTCCCCGGCAAAGCAATAAAGCATCGTTTGTTTCAGCAGAGGGGGACTTCGAGACCTGGACGGGCGATCGGCTCAGTGTTGACCGCGGTGTCCCTGGTGCCTGCCGACCGCGTTCGCCAGATACGCTTGCACGCTTGCGCGCAGGAGCGGTCGGAAAAAAACATGTTTTTTTCACGCGCGAAGGTGCTGGCAAACGACGAAGCATCAAACTGTTGCGATGGCACCTGTCCATGAACGAGCAACGGGAAGGGAGCAGGGATGAGGGGGGGGGGCTGATGAGGCGGAAGGGGAGGGAGGGGGGCAGAAACGGGGAGAAGGCCCAGAGGAAGGAGCGGGCGAAGGAGGATGGCTGTCGGATGCCACGAGCGTAGAGGTCGACGAAGAAGGCACAGGGGGAAGGGATAGAGAGAGAGAGAGAGAAACAAAAGAGGTGGTAGAGGTATGGGAAAGACAGGCGGGCTGGCGTGAGCGCAGCGAGCGCACGGAGAATGCCAACGCCGTCTGGATGTTTTTGAGGCTCTTTTGGGCCGTACTGGGGCCCTCTTGGGCAGTGTCGGGGCCTTCTTGGGCCGTCTTGGGGAGCTGGGGCCCTCCAGAGGTCTTCTGAAGCCATCTAGGGCCCTCTTGGGGGCCTCCAGTGGCCTTCCTGGGGGTCTCCCATGGCTTTCGTGGGTCTCTCTTGGGAGCCTTCTGGGCATCTTGGGCTTCTTGTGGGCAGTCTTGGGACTCTCTGGGGCAGCCTTGGGGCCCTCTTGGGCCGTCTTCGAACCTTCCGGGAGGCCCCTTGGGCCGTCTTGGGGCGATATCGGGGCCCGTCGGGCCGTCTTGGACGCTGCGAGGACCCCAAAAGCGGATATGCTAAAATTGTGTAGCTTCCAGAGGGAATGGGACGATGTTTGCTTCTTCGGGGCTCTCTTAACAGCCTCTTGGGGCGTCTTGGGGGCCTCGTTGGCCGTCTTCGGACCATCGAGGTTCTTCTTGGGTCTCTCTGGCACCTGCCCGATGATCCCTCTGATCGCTTCGAGTCTGCTCGCAAGGCCCGGCAAGGCGCCCTGGGAGGCCCGGAAGGGCCAGCGAACCTTTTCCAAGGGCGTCGCGGGGGCTGCCGAATCATCCGAAGGGCGTCCGGGTCGTCTTGGGGGTGGGTCCGGTTTATGACGTGTGGGGGAGGCTGGGTAATATATATATATATATATATATATATATATATATCATATATATACACATATATATATACTAACGTGCCTCCCACTGACCCCCCCTCTTGGTTGGTATGTGACCTGTGACGTGTGTGTGTGTGTGTGTGTGTGTGTGCTGTGTGGGTGACCCTGTTGGTTCGTGATGTGTGTCTGTTGGTGGTATGTGCAGTGTGCTTGTAGAGCTGGTATGTGACGGTTGTGCTGTGCTCTGGTATGTGATGTTCTGTAGTGTGGTACGTGCGTGCTGTCCGTATGTGGTGTCGCAATTATCGTGCATGTGTTGTTGGGTGTGGTAGGGTGTGTGGATGTGTGCTGTTTTGTTACAGATTTAAGCTCATTTGCTAGCCCCACCTCCACACCCTCAGTCCCCAACGCGCTAGACCCCTCCTCTCTCAATTTCTACCAACACCACCTCCTCTGGTGCAGCTTCGCTCACGCCGCCTTCTCCTCAGGAGCACTTCTTGCTACCCTCCAAAGGTGGTGCGCAGCGTCAACGTCCGTGCTCTACTCATGTATCTCCTTTGGCGAACGCTTTGACGGGATATTCTGCTACCACCCACACACAACAAAATACAAGTCTGTGTATTTGTTGTCTGGAACATTTTTGGGGTCATGACGAAGTCTCATGTGAGTGGGTCTGATGTGAGTGTCTGACGTGAACGAGTCTGATGTGAGTGAATGTCTTTTGTGAACGAGTCTGATATGAGTGAATGTCTGGTGAGAACGAGTGTGGTGTGAGCGCAGGAAGCTGGAGGAAGGGAGGGTGGGAGGCGGGAGGGACGGGGGTTGGGAGGCGGGAGGGAGACCGGAGGGAGGGGGAGACGCCGCCTCCGCCGCCTCCGCCTCCGCCTCCGCCTCCTTTTCCTCCTCTTCACCCGCACGTACATGCATACATGCACAGACGCATTTGGACGTACCACACGACCACAGGAACATCCATACGTACATACATCTACACATACATACATATACATGCGTACGCGTACATACACGTGATACATACATGCACACCTATATATATATATACACGCACAGGGAAGGGGTCCACGAGCAGGCACGGCATGACATATGTGTGTGTGTGTGCGCATGTACATATCTTTCTCTCTCTCTCTCTCTTTCTCTCTTTCTCTCTCTCTCTCTCTCTCTATATATAGAGATAGATTGTACCCCCCCCATGCCCAACAGGGACCTACGTCATCCTGTCGTTTCTTTTCTTCGTCTACTTGAATGTCTTTTCGACCGCGATGTGCTTGACTTTTTGGGTGGGTCGCGGCGGCAAATAATTTCCTGTTGGGTTCGATTGGCTTCCTATGAATGCCCACTGATTCCCATCATTTCTCTTTGATTTTCATCGGTTCCAGTTGGTTCTTTTTGGCTCCGAATGATTCCGAGAGGTTCCTAGTGATTCTTGCGAGAGGGGGAGGGAGAGAGAGAGAGAGAGAGAGAGAGAGAAAGAAAAGAGAGAGAGAGAGAGAGAGCGACGCAGAGGGGGGACGAGAGACATAGCGAGAGACAGGGGTGGAGGAGGATGTTGCAACTACCTTCGCGCGATTTTTTCGAGGGTCACAAAGACTATTGGTTTCATTTTGGGCTCGCAAGATTCTGCTTGTTTTTCCGATGGCAGTCGCAGGTTTCTTTATAGGTTGGGCCGCGAAGCCGGTCGTAGGTTTCTTCAATGTTGGGCCACACAAACCTAGAACAAACATCAAACTTGTGAGAGCACCCGAAAGAAATGGATCCGAGGCCGGAGTTGCGGGAGGGGGGGCCGAGGAGGTATAGTTTTTTCAATGACGGCCAAAGGTTTCTTTCATGTGGGCCACGGAACCTGTGAGATTTTCCGACCTGCTGCGAGGCGACCTCGAAGCAACAACCATCTAAGGTTTTCAGGATCCGAGGCGGATGAGCCCAGGGGGGGCCGGGCTCCCCCTCCCCCCGCCCCCATCCTCGGATTCCAAAAACATGTGGTTTTTGTTTTCGTTATTATCACATGTGGTTTTTTCTCTTTTGTTTTGGTTGGTTTTCTTGGTGGCCGCGCGTGTTTCGTAGCCCAACATTAAGAATTCATGTGGCCGACATTGAAAAACCAGTAGAGCCCAACACAAAATCAATAACATCTATGACTCGTTCAAGCAGACAAACAAATCGCTCTCTTCATTCAGCAATCATAATATACAGCAATTGGTAGGAATGACCTGGAATACATGGGAACCAGTAGGAATCTATAGGAATCAACCGGACCCACGAAGAGTCAATAGAAACCAACACAGTTCAAAGCGAACGATTAGGAATCATTCGGAATCATTCGGGACCGGGATTAACAAGCGTCAAGTGGGATCATAATGAGTTGATAGGGTTCGATTGGGACCAATACTAACACGTAGTAGTCAGTAGGAGTCGTATGAATCGATCAGAACCGACAGGC